AGAGCTGAAAGTAATTACAGAGAAGAGTACACATCTGCTCCACCGGAGTGTCCATCGTGCTGCTGATGCTGACACAGATTAATCCTTTCTCAGAATTGGCCGAGCAGCTTGAATGGTAGGATGCTATTAAATGACGAGATGAGTCCATTTGGGAATGAAGGCTAAAAATTAAGTTGCCCCAAATAAATCACCCCAATAACAAAGGACATTCCTCTACTTCTCTGGAATCAGCTAAAGTTCTCTTGCTGAGAACACTAGACACTGACCTTTATCTTGACCAAAAACTTGTCATGTGTGTAACTGGGATATTGGAAAATTGATAAATGGTTCATTCTATATAGAACATTAACCACATTCACCTTCGTGCTTAGCTCACTCTCTAGAAAGAAGTTGTGATTTTAAGACACTTTACAAAGTCCTTCAATCCTTTGGAGAAACATTGGTTAGTGTTACGATAATAATGGGGGCAAATCTTTTAAGTGGTTTATCAACTGGCGTGGCCTTAGGGATCTTCCCTTTGGAGGCTAAAATGATGTTTTTCTCCAAATCTAGTGTCCCGAGCTTTATTTTTGTGTCCTTTAGATCCAGAAGTGGAAGTCTAATCATGGTAGTGTCGCACATAGTACTATTGTGTCATGACTTGAGTTTATGATAATCCACCATAATCCTAGAAGACCCGTATTTCTGTCCGAATAGGACCTGGACTTTTTTAATGTGTATCTTTAAGTGCCTGCCTGGCTCCGGGGGGATAATGCACTATCTACTTAATGCTTCAGTTGTCTCCCTTCCACAGACACTGCTGAACTGAACATGCTAAAGATACTGCCTACCAATCATATAAATTAGGTAGTTTTTTCACAGTGACCAAAATAATTTATGTCTATTGCCATTAAAATAGTTCTTACATTATGCCTTTTGAAACTCTTCTATCTGTGATAATGGGTTATATGAAAATAATGAAGTTTTTGAGAATGTCATATCTAGGCAACTCTTATTTGTAGTCACGGGAGATGGTCCTTGGGGACCCTCAAGCACGGAGTTCCTTTAGGAAGATTTACATTGCTACTTGGCTCAGGCAACCCTTTTATGCCTCTGCCTGAGAGACTGAGGCCAGTGAAGTTCAGGTCCTTAGATCCAAGGGCTATTGCCTATTTTCTTTGGTTACACTCTTCCCTAATAGAGTCCCATACACAGGAGGCTCTGTACATACACAGTTTGTATTTGCAGGTGAGAAAATCTCTGGGCACATGTGATACAGTTAAGCCAGCCCTGTGGTATCACAGTGCTGGCACAAATTTAAAATGCTATTTGTCTCCTTGATGCTTTCTGTTCTTCTGTCCTTACCATGATTTTAGGGATCACTCTTGTTTTCTGGCCACTCTTCATGCCCCCTAACTTTTTTTGTTGTTGTTTTGGCTGCATTGCGCAACCTGTGGGATCTTAGTTCCCCAACCAGGGATCGAACCCAGGCTCTGGGCAGTGAAAGCTCAGAGTCCTAACCACAGGACCACCAGGGAATTCCCATGCCCCCTCCCTAATTTTATCACTAGGCATCAACTGGGCTCTTAGTTTCTCTTGGCTGCCAGGTTCACAGACAGGCAAGGGCAGCTTCTACTTAGCTCTCTGAAATATTCCACTTGGTCACAGGTTCAGTTCCTCTCCTGGAAGTTCTTTCACCTTCCCTACGACTCTGCTTAAGTAACAGTAGCTACAGTTGCAGTTGCCACCTGAATGGGTTTATGGTACTTCTCTCCCCATCTCATATGAACATTCATATGTTCAGATTGGTGCGTTAACGAGGCTGAGGTAGAAATCTCCACCCTTACACCTCGTAAGCCAGGGAAGGAGGCAGTGATCCCTGCAGTTCTCCCAGGAATGTGGTAATTTTGGTTGGCGGTCCTGTTAGGGAAAAACAGTTATCATTGGCCTCTGTAAGCCTTCACTCTGACTAGCTCCTAGTAGCACTGGATCCTTAGGTGTCTGTGTCATCTCAGGGCCAATGACGAGTCATCCTCAAAAAGCACTAATTTGTCCCCTTCCCCCTATGTATAGTCACTGTGGTAAATGAATGCACGTTCCCTTGCGAAGGCTTGGAGGAGAAGCTGCTGTATAAACATGTGGCAGTGTCTTACGGTCCTTCCTCAAGGGAACCTGGCTTCCCCTCTAAGGGCTCCAACACTGTCTATTAAGTTTCTGTATCTTTAAACAAGCTCAGCAACTTCACCCACCAGCCACTCAGTAGCTGCTTAAGAATGGCCCGGACAATCTTTGCAGTGTGTGCAGAGAGCATTCCGGACCCCACTCGCTTGTTTGTGACCTGCTTGCTCTCATTATGTTTCACAAAATAAGGAACTGGAGAGTCGCCCAGTTTGAAACAGGATCAGAAATGGGCCAGTTGGTGAGGCCACGTTGGCCTAATCATTGCTAATCGGACCATGGACTCCAGCTGGAGCTTGAGCCAAGCCTGCAAGGCCTGCTCACTGCCTGTGGAGGTTTGTATAACCAGGTAAAACCCTTGTTTTGGTTTCTGTGTTAACTCTTCTTAGTCATGACGTTATGAACACTTTTGTGTCTAAGATTTTGTTTTAGTTAAGACTGTTTTGTGGGGGGAGAAATGCTGAATGGAATCCATGGATCAAAGGAAAAGGCTGCTGTATAAACATTGCAAATTCTTTCCAGAAGCGATCTGATAACTGCTATGCCAAAATCAGATTAGATTCCTCTCTTCATACCACAAGGAGCCCAATAAAGAGGGAAAAATAACATTACATACCACACTCCCCTGTAACGCAAGTCAAGCCGTGTTGCCTGTGCTGAAAGGAGCTTCACTATTTATGGCGATGTCCTCTAACCTGGGACCGTCTCCTTCTCCGTCACTCTTCTTGATGGTAGACTGCATGTTGTAAGTGCTAATACCGCTTGTAGGAAGTTCATTTCACAGCAGAGATCAAAGCCAGCCTACTCCTCTTGCGATGCCCTTTCTAGTGGCCCTTTGTTCATGTAATTCTTTCTCACTGACCTTCGACCAACTAGGGATTCATACTAGATTTTTCTTTTTAATTTTACAGTAGGTCCTTGTTGGTTATCTATTTTAAATATAGCAGTGTGTACATGTCAAGCCCAAACTCCCAATCTATCCCTCCCCCCTCCCTTCCCCCCAGTTACCATAAATTCATTCTCTAAGTCTGTGAGTCTGTTTCTGTTTTGTAAATAAGTTCATTTGTATCATTTTTTTAAGATTCTGCATATAAGCGATATCATATGATATTTGTCTTTCTCTGACTTACTTCACTTAGTATGATAATCTCCATCTCCATCCATGTTGCTGCAAATGGCATTATTTCATTCTTTTTAACAGCTGAGTAATATTCCATTGTATATATGTACCACATTTTCTTTATCCTTTCATCTGTCGATGGACATTTAGGTTGCTCCATGCCTTGGCTATTGTAAACAGCACTGCAATGAACATTGGAGTGCATGTATCCTTTCAAACCATGTTTTTCTCTGGATATATGCCCAGGAGTGGGATTGAAGGATCATACGGTAGTTCTATTTTTAGTTTTTTAAGAAAACTCCATACTAGTTTTTTGAAAAGAATTTTGTCTTTAGAGGTAAATGACAACTTTAAATGTCTAAAAAAAAGTAGTGCCATCAACTTTTAATTGCTTTTTTGCTCATTCATTTGTTACAACTACACATATTAATAGAGGAAGGGACTCAATCATGATGTTTTGTGATTTTTATTAAAGAAATAATCACATTACTTAATCTTTCAGTCACATATACCTGGTTGAATCCATGTTAGTGATACCTGGTTGAATCCCATTTTATATTAATCCAAACATTAGTTTTAGACAGAGATATAATATGCAACTAAGACTTTGGTTTTTTAATTGAAGTTGGGGATTAACTTTTTCTGCTTTACAGGAGGTTATTGGGACAACTGGTGAAATATAAAAAGGTCTGAAGATTTGATAATAGTATTGAATAATATTCTGTTAATATCCTGATTTTGGTAATTATAGTAGTTATATAAGGGGTAAAGGTGCATCATGATTGCAAATTACTCCTACATGGCTCAGAAAACTAATTTGTGTATATATATATGCATATATATTCTTATATATTTGTATGTGTATGTGTGTGTATATATACACACGCACACACACACACATGTATATATATATATATATATATATATATATACAGAGAAAGAGAGAGAGCGAAATAAAAAGAAAGAGAGAGAGATGAAGCCCATATGGTAAAATGTTAACAGTTGGGGAATCTGGGTGCAGGATATACAGGAATTTTTTGTCCTATTCTTGCAAATTCTCTGTAAATCTGAAATTATTTTAAAATAAAAATTACAAGAGCAAATAATAAATGGATCAGAAGAAAGACTCTCCCACACTAAAGTTTTCCTCTACCCATTGTGTAATTTTAGTACTAGCATTTCTTTAATAATTTTAACAGAAGGACAGATGATAATCTGCAGATTAGGGTTTTTATCTATAAATCATGTGGTATCATGGTTATAGGAGCATCACTAGAAAACATTTAAATGGGATGTGGCAAACATAAGCTAAAATTAATTGTCCTTTCATTTAGAATCAGTGCTTTGCAAACTAATTATGCATTCAAAATTATTTGAATGCATATTTGTAATGAATAGTCCCATGAATCTGCATTAAAATCATTGTTCAATTCAATGTAATGATTATTCAGTGAAAGCCTGAAGATCCCAAGATGTTAATTTTCTTAATTGATTTGCACATGCAATTTTTATCAAACATATATATTAATAGTCATGGTTTATGTAGGGTTCATTGACTTTAATGAAGCACTTCCAGTTTGCTAAGTGGTACATACATGATAGGAGACAGTCCCTGTTTATTTTCAAGGTGCTTTCCTAAGATTGAAAAATAAAGACAGTTAGAGCAAGGCTGGCACTGCACCAGGTTTTAATAAGGCTGCTACCCCTCTCCTCCTTCTTCCAGGTGGGGAGGAGTAGGCCCATGACATGTGCTCCTTGGGGATGTAGAAGAGAGAGCAGGTGACCTTGACTACCTCCTCCCTGTAAGCAGCTTCCTCAGCTGTCATCTCTCCTTCAAGAAAGACATTTATTTGGAGCTGTGCAGTCATTTAGAGGACGCTTTTCTGTGGCTCACCTCGGGATGACTTTGCAAAATTAGGGAACTCTGGAAAAGATGCAGGCTGAGATTGGCCCTGGCCAGAGTTCACAGAAGATGGCAGCTATGGGAGGCAAGAGCTGGGCTGTGCTCAGTTTGGCTGGCAACCCTGGACGGCAAGAAGATGCTCAGACATCAGAGGAATTCCGTTCCTCTCTCATAGCCCCTCTAATCCAGCGTGACGCTTTCCTACTCCAAAGAGTTTTCCCTGATTAACCTCAATTCACAACACCTTTCTTTTCATCGACTCCCAAAGGTTTAGCTGTGTGCTTTATGCCAAAGTGTTCCCTTTACCTCTCTATTCATGCCTTTGTTGCCTTGCTTAGGACAATTCCTTCAGTGCTCAATCAGGTAAAAAGTCGCCTTCTTCCTCCTGGCATTCAAGGGCAAGAGTTTTAGAGTTCAGTGGTTCAGGGTTCAATTCTGGACTCTTCCATTTATTCCAGCTCTAAGACCTTGAACAATTATTTACACTCTTGCAGCCTGAGCCTCTATGTCTACAAAATGAGAATGATAATAACAACTGTTACTCGTACCTGTCCTTTTTAAGATCTTTCTCTGGACATTCTGGATTACATAGACGTAAACAAGACACAAACACTTAAGAGATTTCGCTAATCTTATTATATCTCTCAGAAGATAGGAGATAGGTAAGGATTGGTCTAGGCTCATACAGAAAAGAAAACTTTCCTAAGCATTGTATAGATGTGCCCCTACCTAACAGAACAAATATTCTTGACACTCTTTCCTCCCCGACTCTTTCCCACGAAGTAATAATATTAGGTATTCCCTATATAATTGCAGCCACATGGGAAATTACTCCTCCAGAGTTTCTGGAGTGAAATACAGTTTGTGCTTTGGGACAGATGGGCTTACCAGTTACCTCAATTTTATATACCAGTACAACTAGAGGCAATGGAATTGAGTTCCACCAGATGGCCACAAAATACTACGACAGGCAAGATTCAGGAACTAATATAATTAGTTGGGACAACAAAAAGACAAGAGTAAAAAAATGTGTGGCCATTCACAGCTATTCTACCTTGCAATCCAGGGCCACACAAGTTGGGTATTGCACAATCTTCTTCGGTGCCCCTGGGATTATTTCCAGATCCATAATTGGGACACACAGAAAAATTTCAAAGTTTTTTTCTGTCTACCAGGTTTGTTCCAAATTCATTTGAATATTAAGACTTTTGTGATTTTCATTATTACTCAGTAGTAACAAGAGTCTGACTCTTTATATCACTAAAGTCTTCAACATCTGCTTATAAAAGTTAAATGACAAATACCACAGTGCCTGATACATTGTGAGTGTCCAGAAAATGTTAGTTTTTATTATTATGACAAATGTCATATCATCATCGAATACTACCGCACGTGAAATAAATGCTTGACGAACCTAGTCAGATTACTCCAGCACCCTTCCTTATACAGTTATCAATAAGTTGAATCTACACATCTAACCTACTTTGCATTCCCCACAAACCACACCTGCACCAGCCCCAATCATCAATGCTGGCCCACCAACCTTGGTCACATAGAAATCTGGTAGAACCATGTGATAATTCTATATTCTGAGTTATTTCAATAAAGCCAGCACACTCTGATTCTCCTTTCTATTTCCCTTCTGTTGAGTTTTACAAAGGGGTGGAGAAGTGGGTATGGGTTCTTTAAGTGTTTCTTAATTAGACTTGAGGACATTTGCTAGAGGGGAAAGAGAAAGTCAAGATGAAATGTGTGAGCAAGTACTTTTGAAGACAAATTTCCACATCTACACTTGATTCAATTATAGTTTAAGGTCATTTTCTCCCATGCCAGATTGAAATGTATAAACTCTGTTCATCCTTGGAAGGTAGGAATCTGAGCCTGTAGGAGCCAGGGGAGGGCTTCAGAAATATGTATAATGTAAGGTCTGCAAATCTCAGGACCCAGATGTTTACATGAGCAAATCTGAGGTAACATCCATAGGAACAAAACAGCCTCACTCTTCTCATTTCACTTTTGTCCACTGACTAACCTGGTAAATACTACCGCACCATAGACCAATGGGACAAGGGTGGTCAGTAGCTCTCTGTGTCCCTGCTGGTGGTTCCGCAGGTCTTTGTACAGTTATCAGATATTCATATAGATAATTAGCTGCCTTCACTGCTTAGGTTGTGTAACTGGAGACATAACTTCTAAGCAATTTCCTTTTTGCAGTTTTTTCAACCTTACTGGGGCTTTAACCTCAAAATGCAAGCTGTAGAACATAAAACAGAGCAGGATTTACATGTTCTGGAATCAAGACTATTGCTCCTGTTTTATTTACTTCAGTCAAGAGAATTTGATGAGGGATGTTTTGATGAGTATATCTCTGAAAAGTTGGAACATTCACGTAAATGATTGTTCTACAACTTAAAATTCTTTCATACCAGCTCACGAATTTTTTTACCCAGCTCTAATTACATAAATGGTTATATAAACATATGTCTGTTACACCAAAGTCTACTTCACTTGGGAACTCATATGCCAGTGGGCTCAAAGAATCATCTTTTGATGTTACCAAGGAACATTTTATGCCATCAGGATGAAGCAGAAAGGCAGTCATCAATCAGGCTCCTTTGCCTTCATGCTCCAAGGCACAGAGAGAAAAGACCCAGAAGAGAGCGCGCTACAAGTCTCAGCTTGATCCCTAACAGAACTCTTTATCTTGGTTAAATTAATTCCTTTTCGCAAACTACATACTTTTGTCAACGTCTCCTCTATAACTGTGATAAAGACAATGGTATATAAAAGGCTTTCCTCTGGAGAGTTTTATTTGATCTTCATAAGACAGTTGTGAAATAAGTAAAAAGGAAGCTATGGACTTCCATTAGCAAAAACTCATATCTAAAAGCCACTGAGCTAAAAATAATTCATTCAACCATTCATGCATGCAGGAAACAATATTTCTGATTGCCTTCTATGTGCCAGGCACAGTGTTTATGCTTCTATAGAATGATGATTAAAAGCAGACCTGAACATTGCCCTTAAAAATCTTATAGCTGGGGAGACCTTCAAGATGGTGGAGGAGTAAGACGTGGAGATCACCTTCCTTCCCACAAATACATAAAAAATACATCTACATGTGAAACGACTCCTACAGAACACTTACTGAACGCTGGCAGAAGACCTCAGACTTCCCAAAAGGCAAGAAAATTCCCATGTACCTGGGTAGGGAAAAAGAAAAAACAGAGACAAAAGAATAGGGACGGGACCTACACCTCTGGGAGGGAGCTGTGAAGGAGGAAAGGTTTCCACACACTACGGAGCCCCTTCACTGGTGGGGATGTGGGATGGGTTGGGGGGAAGCTTCGAAGCCATGGAGGAGAGCACAACAACAGGGGTGCAGAGGGCAAAACAGAGAGATTCCTACACAGAGGATCGGTGCTGACCGGCACTCACCAGCCCGAGAGGCTTGTCTGCTCACCTGCTGGGGTGGGTGGGGGCTGGGAGCTGAGGCTTGGGCTTCAGAGGTCAGATCCCAGGGAGAGGACAGGGGTTGGCTGCGTGAACACAGCCTGAAGGGGGCTAGTGCACCACAGCTAGCTGGGAGGGAGTCCAGAAAAATTTATGGACTTGCTGAAGAGGCAAGAGACCATTGTTTTGGGGTGCATGGGGAGAAGAGATTCCTTTCCCATCTGCCCACAGAAGGCAGAGCACCGCTTAAGTGAGCTCCAGAGACAGGCGTGAGCCATGGCTATCAGCTTGGACCCCAGAGATGGGCATGAAACGCACCCTGATACCAAAACCAGACAAAGATGTTACAAAAAAACAAAACTACAGAACACTATCACTGATGAACATAGATGCAAAAATCCTCAACAAAATACTAGCAAACAGAATCCAACAGCACATTAAAAGGATCTACACCATGATCAACTGGGGTTTATCCCAGGAATGCAAGGATTCTTCAATATATGCAAATCAATCAATGTGATAAACCATATTAACAAATTGAATAAGAAAAACCATATGATCATCTCAATAGATGCAGAAAAATCTTCCAACAAAATTCAACATCCATTTATGATAAGAATTCTACAGAAAGTAGGCATAGAGGGAACCTACCTCAACACAATAAAGGCCATATATGACAAACCCATAGCCAACATTATTCTCAATGGTGAAAAACTGAAAGCATTTCCTCTAAGATCAGGAACAAGACAAGATTGCCCACTCTCAACACTATTATTCAACATAGTTTTGGAAGTTTTAGCCACAGCAATCAGAGAAGAAAAAGAAATAAAAGGAATCCAAATCAGAACAGAAGTAGTAAAACTGTCACTGTTTGCAGATGACATGATATTATACATAGAGAATCCTAAAGATGCTACCAGAAAACCACCAGAGCTAGTCAATGAATTTGGTAAAGTAGTAAGATACAAAATTAGTACACAGAAATCTATTGCATTCTTATACACTAATGACGAAAAATCTGAAAGAGAAATTAAGGAAACACTCCCATTTACCACTGCAACAAAAAGAATAAAATACTTACGAATAAACCTACCTAAGGAGACAAAAGACCTGTATGCAGAAAACTATAAGACTCTGATGAAAGAAAGAGATAAAAACAGATGTAGAGGGGCTTCCCTGGTGGTGCAGTGGTTAAGAGTCTGCCTGCCGATGCAGGGGATGTGGGTTCGTGCCCTGGTCCAGGAAGATCCCATATGCCGCAGAGTAGCTGGGCCCGTGAGCCATGGCTGCTGAGTCTGAGTGTCTGTAGCCTGTGCTCCACAACGGGAAAAGCCACAACAGTGAGCGGCCCGTGTACCACAAAACAAACAAACAAACAAAACAGATGGAGAGATATATCATGTTCATGGATGGAAGAATCAACATTGTGCAAATGACTATACTACACAATGCAAGCTACAGATTCACTGCAATCCCTATCAAACTACCAATGGCATTTTTCACAGAGCTAGAACAAAAAATTTTAGTTTGTATGGAAACACAAAAGACCCCAAATAGCCAAAGCAATCTTCAGAAAGAAACATGGAACTGGAGTAATCAGGCTTCCTGACTTGAGAGTATACTACAAAGCTACAGTAATCAAGACAGTATGGTATTGGCAGAAAATCAGAAATAAAGATCAATGGAACAGGATAGAAAGCCCAGAGATAAACCCACACAACTATGGTCAACTAATCTTTGACAAAGGAGGCAAGGATATACAATGGAGAAAAGAGAGCCTCTTCAATAAGTGGTGCTGGGAAAACTGGACAGCTACATGTCAAAGAATGAAATTAGAATACTCCTTAACACCATACCCAAAAATAAACTCAAAATGAACTAAAGACCTAAATGTAAGGCCAGACACTATCAAACTCTTAAAGGAAAACATAGGCAGAATACACTATGATGTAAATCACAGCAAGATCCTTTTTGACCACCTCTTAGTGAAATGGAAATAAAAACAGAAATTAACAAATGGGACCTAATGAAACTTAAAAGCTTTTGCACAGCAAAGGAAACCATAAACAAGTCAAAAAGACAACCCTCAGAATGGGAGAAAATATTTGCAAACAAAGCAACTGACAAAGGATTAATCTCCAAAATATACAAGCAGTTCATGCAACTCAATATCAAAAAAACAAACAACCCAACCCAAAGGTGGGTGGAAGATCTAAATAGACATTTCTCCAAAGAAGACATATAGGTGACAAACACATGAAAAGATGCTCAACATCACTCATCTTTAGAGAAATGCAAATCAAAACTACAATGAGGTATCACCTCACACCAGTCAGAATGGCCATCATCAAAAAATCTTCAAACAATAAATGCTGGAGAGAGTGTGGAGAAAAGGGAACTCTCTTGCACTGTTTGTGGGAATGTAAATTGATACAGCCACTATGGAGAACAGTATGGAGGTGCCTTAAAAAACTAAAAATAGAAATACCATATGACCCAGCAATCCCACTACTAGGCATATACCCTGAGAAAACCATAATTCAAAACGGGACATGTACCACAATGTTCATTCCAGCACTATTTACAGTAGCCAGCATAGGGAAGTGTCCATTGACAGATGAATGGATAAAGAAGATGTGGCACATATATACAATGGAATACTACTCAGCCATAAAAAGAAACGAAATTGAGTTATTTGTAGTGAGGTAGGTGGACCTAGAGTCTGTCATAGAGAATGAAGTAAGTCAGAAAGAGAAAAACAAATACTGTATGCTAACACATATATATGGAATATTTTTTAAAAAATGGTTCTGAAGAACCTAGGGGCAGGACAGGAATAAAGACGCAGATGTAGAGAATGGCCTTGAGGATACCGGGAATGGGAAGGGTAAGCTGGGCCAAAGTGAGAGAGTGGCATGGACATATATACACTACCAAACGTAAAATAGATAGCTAGTGGGAAGAAGCTGCATAGCACAGGGAGATCAGCTTGGTGCTTTGTGACCACTTAGAGGGGTGGGATAGGGAGGGGGGGAGGGAGGGAGATGCAAGAGGGAAGAGATATGAGGACATATGTATATGTATAACTGATTCACTTTGTTATAAAGCAGAAAATAACACACCATTGTAAAGCAATTGTACTCCAATAAAGATGTTAAAAAATAAAATTAAAATAAAAATTCAAAAAGAAAGATATGTCTGTTACTGTAATTTCTTAATGTTCCTTATCCATCTCAGACAGACTTTTAGAAACCCAAGTAGAACTATTGTTGCCGTTAAGATCGTTTCCACGAGGCAAGCCTCTAATGAGCAGAGGTCATCACTGGATGTGAGTGATACCTTGAAAACAAAGTAGAGTTGAGGGGTTTGATCATGGTGTTAGTCAGAAGGGCATGCAAGATAAACTAGGCTCAAAGCAAAGAAATTATTAAGAAGCTAGCATTTTCAAAACCATTATGTGCTCAGGCACCCTTATTTACCATTACAACTTGTTCTCAGCTAATATAGAATTGCTTACTTTTCTCTGGCGTTCTGATCCAAAGTCACCCTGAAACATAGCAACAAATATTATACCTGGATGATTCACTTCCTTAACAGCGTGAGGTCCTTTTTGTCATTACTTTTGGGTAAGAGAATGAATGAAATAATACCACCGGTTGTATTTCAAGTCTTCAGGGAAATGGTGGATTGATGATTCTCTTGCCTACTTAAATTCCAACCTCAAAAATAAGAGGCTAAAAAAAAATCTTACTTAATTTTCCATCCTTGTTTTAAGGGGGAAGCAAACCAAATTAACTTTCTTTGCTCAAGAAAGATGTAGAAACATTCTTCCAGTTATAGCCGACTAAAGACTGAGATGTGTTGAGACTGACTGACACTGGAAGAATTCCAACATGGATAGCTAGATATTTGGCTTACATGGTACAGCAAGTGTTCAAACGCCAGAGAGCAGGTTTAACTGGGTTATCTTAGAAGCTACTTTCAACTTTAGAAGGCAAGTTTAAATAAAAGGGATTATTTCATGCTAAGTGACAATACTTTGATTTGAAAAAAAAGGAAAGAAAGAAATCTGATGAGCTTTTGTTTTTCCATTGGCTCTTCTAATTGACATTTACTATTGTGCCAGTACTACAACATATAGCAAATAAACTGATGACGATTATGTTAGCTAACAAAATGATAGATCCTGAAGCATGTGTCAAGATGACACCCACAGTTTAATTTCTTATAGAGCAGTCTATGCATTGCCAAGTAGCCCATTCAGACATTACGTTTTACACTTGCCCTTGAAGCTACTCTTTAAGTCATAGAAAAAAGAAGAAAGAAGAGCTATAATTTAAGACATAAACAATCAATGCAATGAAACAAAGAGTATGGATGACAAATGGAGACAAGAAAGCTGACTTTAGATATTAAAGCTGATCTAAAAGAAAGAGATTCATAGAGCAAAATGGGTTCTTCTTGTATTTTATGTCATCTGGCTTGAGGACATTTTTGCATTCAATAGCTGAATGTCGCTGTTTATCTGCACAAAACCTTTCTTCCAAGTTCATGTGAGGTTTTCATGTAATATGATTACTAATGGGCCAGAGTTTCTCATTTTGCCCAAGAAAAGATTATATGAAGTAATTTTTTCGATTTACACTAGCA